AAAGCGGAGTCCAGGACTCAATGATATTCTTACTGCTTCCAGCCATTGTCCACTTGAGATGGTATTCAGGTTGCCTCCCAGGGACAAGAAGTGCCAGAAAAGGTTCAGATGGCCTCTGTACTCAGAATCTTGGCATCTTGAGATGTTTAAATGACATAACAAATTTCCTCCTACTGTCTGGAAGGGAACCAAATCCAGTAAAGATGGCCTAAATATGCACTGAATCCGTAGCTCTGGAAAATACAGCTACTAAGACCAGAGCTGGCCAGTCATGCAGTTGGCAGTGGTGTCTCAGACAGGGTGTGGGGGACCATGGCCCTGATTATGTACAGACTCTACTGGGCCACCCAGGCAGCACTGAGCAGACCACCAAGAGATAGCTCTGGGATGTGGGATAGATGGGATAGAAACCCCTGGATACGGCTCAGCCACATGGCATCTCACTCTCTCCACATATCCACTTGCTCGTTCATTCATTTTACAGTCTCTTATATGCCAGATACTCCTTTGCACTAGGATCCCTGACGTTGGTGCCACTGTCCTGCCCATCTAGAGCTGCACTCTCCAAAATGGTAGACATGAGCCACACGCAACCACTAGGCTCCTGAAGTGTGGCTACTTTGAATTGAGACATGCTGTTAGTGTAAAATATACCCTAGATTCCAAATAATTAGTACAAAAAGGAATATAAAATATCTTATTAACACTTTTTCATATTGAGCATATGTTGAAATGATAATATTTTTGATAGATTTAAGAAATATATTATTAAAATTACTTTCACCAGTTTTTTTAAACTGGTTTTTTTTGTTGTTTTTTTTTTTTTACATTTCTTAATGTGACAAATTAGAGAAAATCTTAGTTACATCTGTGGCAGCGCACTGGTTCAGAGACTTGCAACGTAGAGGAGAGAGGCCGTTGAGTGTGTTCTAAGCTGAAGGGTAAGAGTAACATTAGCACCTGGCCCCAGGTGCTAAGGGGAACCCAAAGGAGACCTAGCCCAGACTGTGAGGGGCAGGAGCAAGGGGAGCAGAGCAGCTCCCTAGAAGAGTTCACACCAAAACTGACAGCCACGAGACAAATCTGAGGTAGCCCCAGGACCAGGGCAATCCAGGAAGGAGCCCAGTCTCTACAGAGGTGCAAGGTTGAAAGGCTCAATGAACTTCAGATATGTCTCCAGTGGCAGGAGTGAGAGAAGGGGAAGCAATAAAGCCAGGAAGGGCAAGAGACATCAGCTCCTAACAATTGAGTCCAGTGCTGTTCAAGCAGAATTATAATGTGAGCTACAGGCAAAGTTTTCAATTTTATAGTAGCCACATTCAGAAAAGTAAAACAAGTAAAATTAATTTTAGCAATAAGTTTCACTTAACCCAGAATATTTAAAATGTTATTATTTCAACAGTTACTCAGTGCCAACAATTCTTAATGACGTAGTTTACTTTCTTTTTTATGATTACCAAGTCATTGAAATCGGATATATATTTTACAGCGTGTGCTAGCTACATTTCAACTGCTCAGTGCTACATGTGGCTGGCTAGTGGCTACTGTACCAGACAAGGCAGGTCTGCTAGGCTTTTGCATGCCATGGGAGAAAGTTTTAAGCAGACGTGTGCCTTAGAAAAATCTCTCCAGTAGCCCTGAGAGAGACAAGCAGGTTTCTGGAGGCAGTCACCACCATCTTCTGGGTACGGTAAACTGGTTTGTAAACTGGTAACATAAGAACAAAATTTTTTTTGCAGACTTTGCCCCATGATGGTGTTATTTGAGGGCAGTTCCGGAGTACAGACCACAGAGCCTTGTCCTAGAGTTTGTCCAGAGTCCTGAAAAGCAGAGGCTGCTCTCTGCTCTCTCAATTCCCATGTTGTTCTAACCACCTTTCAGAGGATGACTTGGGGACAGACTCCTCAGATTTTCACCTTTGGGTTTCTCGTCTGTGAAACTGTATTGCCAATACTCCCCTCAAAGGCTTGGTGTGCAGTTAAAATGAAGCAACATATGTAAAATGCCTCACACTGTGCCTGATAAAGAATTGATTAAAAAATGGTAGTTTCTTTCCTTTTAAGTGATTGTCAAAAGGACTCCTTCACGTCTCTAAGAGCAGCTCCGAGGATTTAAAGTCAAACAGCAGGACTGGGGGTCAGACTTGGAAAGACTCCTAACCCTTTCTCCATCCCCCACCAAGGACTTCAAGGAGCCGGTTCATTTCAGAAAGAAATGTCTTAAAAATATGCAGATTAGAGCCAGCCCTGCAGGGGACGTTTTTTCTAGCATCACAGTAAGTTTTAACTGGTAAGGAAACAGCTTTTCTGTTTCCCTGGGCTCTATCTTATTAGAGAAAGAGCTTAAAATTTGTTCCTAATCTCCAAGGAGTTTCCAGGTGTTTAATGACTTTCCAAAGTAATAAAAAGCTGAATTCTGGGAAACCATTATGTGAGTTGTCACCTACCACCTTCCTCTGACTTTGAGAATCAAAGGAAGCAACACGATCTGGGTGGAACTGGGAAAAACATCGGTTTTGAAGTGTGACAACCTGAGTTTAAACCACAATTCTGTTGTTGATAGCCATAGAATCTTTCAATAAATTGTTTATAGCTTTGATCATCAAGGTACTTATCTGTAAAATGGGTGTAATATATATGTTGCAAGGTAAGAATTATGTATGCAAGGTAAGAATGTATTAGTTAATTTATTGCTGCATAACAATCTACCCTCAAAACTTATTGTCTTAAAACAACATTTAGGATCTCACAGTCTCTGTGAGTGAGGAACCTGGACGAGGCTTAGCTGGGTCCTTTTGTTCAGGATGTCACCTAAGGCTACTATAATTGAGGTGTCAGGCAGGGCTGTGGTCTCATGTCAAGGTGCAACTAGGGAAGGATCTGCTTGATTGGTTGCTGTCAGGATCTAGTTCCTCAAGTCCTTTTTGACAGAGGGTGTCGGTTCCTCACTGGCTGTTGGCCAGGGTCCTCCCTCAGTTCTTTGCCACGTGGGCCTCTCCGTAGGGCAGCTTACAACATGACGGCTTGTGTCATCAGAGTGAGAAGGCATGAAGAGTCAGAGAAAGAAAGTGACTGCAAGACAGAAGTCACCATCTTTTATAACCTAGTCTCAGAAGTGACATCTCATCACTTTTACTATGTTCTGCTGGTTAGAAGCAAGTCACTAGGACTAGCCCATGTTTACAGGGAGGGAGTTGCACATGGGCGTGAGCAAGGAGCAAGGATAGTTGGGAGCCTTTTTAGAAGCTGTCTGCCGTGATATTTCAAGATTTTCAGTAAATAGTAGCCATAAATGTTCTGACCAAATATGAAAGCACTTTGAAAAGCAACGTTTACCACAGAAATAGAAGAAATCTACTGGATTATATGTCAAGGTCAGGAAATTTAGCAATCATATGACACTACCAGTCTATAAAAGAGGTTGATTCTAACCAATGCTAGGTTATCCAACGGCTTCGTTTAAAGATATATTTAATTTATATGAAATGTGGATTTGATAACATGTTATCAAATAACAATGTTTGGACACTGGAGTTAAAAGGGATTCACTTCCGCTACAATGACGTTTTATCATATACCTGAATCCCTTTCTAGTAATTTTAGGATGTCCTGTTTTTAGGGGAACATGCATTTTGATTTCCTCATCGAACGATAGTATAAAGGCATGTGATCCTGCTGTACGTTCTTTATAATTAGCACTTTAACAGCTACATAACATTTCCATTCAGTAGATCGATGTAAAAAGCTTGGTTTACTTAACTGTTCCCTCATTCTGTGACATATACGTCGCTTCAGTGTTTTGCCATTAAAAGCAATGCTGTGACTGAGTTTCTTTTGTGTGGCTAGTTTTTTTCCCCCATAATTTGAATTAAGTCTTTAGGATAAAGTCTCAGAAGAGCAATTCTAATACACACATTTTAATGGTTCTGTCAAGTTTTTATCCAAATGAGAAAATGGCTTTGGTTTTTATAAAAGCAAACACTGCTTCATCAGCTCCAGACTAAGCTCCCCAAGGGAGACACCCTAGTTTAGTTTTTAGTTCTTTTTTTTTTTTTTTAAACCATGGCATCTAGCCTATAAGTAACATCTAATGAGTATTGTGGACTGAATGAACAAAAATATTTAAAAATCTGAGACTTTAGGAAAAATATTTAGTCTAGGTCTACTGACACTCCTTTTTTAATCAAGAGATTTTTCATTTCCATTTAGAAATCACTAAGAGATGTGGAGGACAGAGGATGCCAAGCACTGGCCTCTCTTTTGTCCTTTCCTTATCTCATTTAATCCTCACAGCACCCCCTACAGTTCTTTTTCCCACACAGCAGCAGACTGAAATGCTCAAAGCATATATCAGATTATGTCACGCCCTTGCTTTTATAAAGGGTTCCAGGAGACATCTGTTGGCCCCTATCATTTGGGGGAGCGGGCGGGGGAGGAAAGTAAGTCCTCTTTTCTGGGGAGAATACTGTTTCTGGGAAAATATTAGGTGGAGACAAAATTTCCACCCAATACCAGGAATGATGGTAATTTTCTTAAATGTAGTTCAGCCTGGGTAATGAGTCATTTTAGCCAAATTAGGAGTCAGAATGATATAGCATTCAGGTAAGCAGGGCACAAATAACCCTCAAAAAGAATTTTATTGGTCAACATTTCCTCTGGCTGATGTGCGTTGTCGTTCTACAGCATGTAACTCTTTGAACTCCACAATACTCCTCTCCGGGACACCAACACCCTTTTTAAAAAGAAATTTTATTTTACTTATTTCTGGAGCTATCACCCTCCTTTTTTAGACCCAGGAGAGCAAGTTGCTTGTACAGATCAGAGTGTGTAACACAACCAGAATTTTTTTGCACTCAACGTCCAAAACCATCTCGAGCTTAGCCACTAAACTTAAACCACAGCGCCCCCTAGTGGGAATCTGGTGGTTTGGCTTTCCCAGGCCTTTACACTTGGGCCACGTCTCACCTAATCAGCGCTCCAATTTTTCTCCCTGTCTCTCAGGTAAAGGAGGCCATGCAGCGGATTCACGACCGAGGGAACATTGGCAAATTAATTCTGGATGTAGAGAAGACCCCAACTCCACTGGTGAGTCAAAAAGCAGAGGAATCTGGTCAATTCAACACAAGAGGGTCTTACTGGGCAAAGACCCAAGTGGGGCAGAGGGAAATACAGGCAGCTCATGGGCTGGCAGAGGAGGCCAGCGGTAAACAAATGGTTGTGTGAATGAGGGATTAGTTATACACTGGGATACATGTGGAGAAAGAAAGGAAAATGCTTCAATGAGAGCATTTCAAGAACAATCTGAGAGCAGTCAGAAAAGGGTAGAAACAACCTTTCTCTATTCGAAGTCCTCTCTCTTGGCTGCCACAAGTAGGAGGGATTCCTGGTAAAATCTAATAAATTCACATTCACATACTCAACAGATTCATGCTCACTGCTTCCAAGATGCCTCCTGATGATTCCACCGATTTTGTTTTCTTTAATCAGGATAAAACCCTGATGCCCAGGGATCTCACCAGGAGTGGAGCGTGTCAAACTGACACCACAAATGCTCTTGCAAGGGCCACTTGAGGGGGACTATGTAATGTGGCGGTCAACACATAGACTGTCACCAGACTGCACGGGTCAAAGCCCAGCTCTGAGCCCCAGCGTGTGACCTGGACTATTGCTTTGCCACTCCAGCTTCGGTCTCCCTTTCTGAAAACTGGAGATTGACAAAGTTTCACAAGTCAATTAGAATGACATGCATAAAATATTTCTCATACACACTAAGTTCTAAAAAAAGGTTTAACGAAGAAAATACTTAGGAAGTTTTTTGTTTTCTCATATGTTTAGTCTTAGAACTGCAAAAGAATAAATGTCTTTTATAAAAGAGGAAGAACTCCAATTTCTTACATGTTTTAGTCTGAAGTGTGTATTTTTAAAAATGTTTACTTGGACAGCTAATACCCCACACACTACCTTCCCAGGGAAGCAAGCAACCCTAGCTCTTGGCCCTTAAAGAAATCCTTCTAAGTGGTATCATCGGATGCTCAGAGAAGTTGGGGATAAGGTTGCAATGCCTTCTCATAAGTTCTCCGTTGAATTACAGATGGCCAATGACAGCACAGAGACCAGTGAGGCAGGAGAAGAGGAGGAGGACCACGAGGGTGACAGCGAGAACAAGGAGCGGATGCCCTTTATCCAGTAACCCAGAACCCAGGCAGAAGAATGAAGGAAGGTCATTGGTAGAAGAGGAGCCAGCTGAGGAAGTTCTTCTGTGCCCCAGTGAACAAATGCTGTAGTCCAGTGCGTGTTGTGTTTGTCTGCAGTCAGCTGAGCTAAAAAGCTGTTGATCACTGTTGTTTTTTGAAATTAAGTGCCAATCCCATTCCATGCAGTATTATGTCCTTCCCCCGTCTGTGTATTACACTCTTCCCTCTCCCCTGTTTCAAAACCATCTATATTTGGGTCCTTGACAGTTCTAGAACAGCCTTGCAAATTAATACAAGCCCATAGGCCCAGTGCCTAAGAGACTAGACATGGCAAAGACAGATTTGGATTGAAAGGTGTTATCACAGAGTACTATCCAGATCCTAGAATTCTTTGGGCCAATGATACTTTTCGCTGCCAGCCACCCATGCTTCTGATAACACTTGCCAATCTGGCTGGCAGAAAGAGGGTAGGCCAGGAGAAGTTTTTATGAGCCCATAAACTTAGTATCTCTCCAAACTGTAACTTTCCCTCTCCCCTCTTAAGAGGCAACTTCCTTACATTCATCCAGTTGTTTCACAGTCAAAAGTTTGAACTACTCTCCTCTCACCCTCTGATGCTTGATCTCTTCACTGGTTATTATCCACGAACACAGGGAAATGGATGTGAATGTTTCAGGGTAGAAGATGGGTCAACAGCATGAGCTTGAGGACCAGCCACAGAGATTTCTCCTCTGAAACAGTATCTCACGAGCAAAATGCTCTCCCCACCACAACCCACCTGCCATATATATTTTATTTCAAGAAAACTTACCACATGTGAGACTATTTCAGAACTCATTTCTGAGACTCGCCTGCGTTTGCACACTGGCCATTGGCATTCTCAATTTTGCTATGTTCATTTCCTAGTACTGAGCAGCCACCTTTATTGTGGATTCCCCTGAGGAAGACCTCCTTGATAGACCATATTTGGAAAAAAAAAATCAGTATCTTTTCATTTGCCAAAGCATGTTCCAACATGTAACAAATTCTAGCCACACAAAGGTTGATGTTCAGTATCAGATGCCAAATGTGCAGTTCCTCTCCTCTGAAATATAAAATTATGGTGCAGACTGTGCAGATGGGGAACTGGGGACCCAACTACTTGGTTGCACACTCTTGTCCGATTTTCCAATTCCTAAACTTCTAAGAAACCTCACCCCCAACCCCACCCCACATGGTGTGGCTTGAGGCAAACAGTTCCCCTGCAGGAAGAGAAAAAGGCTCAAAGTTTCCATGAGGAGGGGCTCCTCCTTTCCTCCTCCCAGTCCTTTTGCCCAAAGGGTTGACTCCATCACTCCCAAACCAAATTGGAGACACAAGAAACCCACACAATCAGCACTCCAGCTCACTTTACATTCTGGAAGACATTGGAGGGTTCCCACATTGCCCAATCTCTCTACCAGTGAGCCTCAGGACAGACCCAACTCTTCCCCCAAAATGATGGGAGTGAATGCATTTCATCAATTACCTATTTTATTTCCAAAGTCCTTTTGTAGCAAATGTCACCTCATTAGTCATGTTCTTTTTTTTCCTATCCTAAGCTTGTGATGATGACTTATTTATGCCAAATATTTATCTGGAAGGAGTTTCTCCTCATTGTGAATGTTATGTGCAAAATAATGAAGATGAACAAGGGTGCTGCCATCTGAGGTGCCGAGAGCTGAGAGGACCTCAGAGAAGACACCAACATCTTCTCTTCCTACTTTAGGACCCACCAGTATTCCAGGTCTGGCCGCTTAGAGAGATGATGTAGAGGTTTTATTCCACCAACACCTTTGCCAAATGATGAATTATTGGTCATGTTTCTCCCATAACCAAGCTGACGATGGTGTCCTAAGAACCACTACCCAAGTGATACTACTAGTGAGCTGAACAGAAATGGCATGTTCTAGGGCTGGGGGAAGAAAGAGCCACTGGCCACATCAAGGCTGTCCTCTGCCAGGTGGGTGGAACTCTGCGTTGAGAATCCAGATGGCCTTCACTATGTCCAGAGGAGACACAAAAACTCACTCCTCCTCAAATCTGTTGTTTTTTTTTTGTTGTTTAACAAGCGAGATTAATACAGTAATCACAAATAATGCCAGTTAATTGTGGAAAATAATTTTCATTTTCTCAGAATACAGAATGAGAAGAAAAAACTAGAGTTTGACCAATAAAATCAATTTATGCCATGAATAAGAGAAAAAACATCAAAATTAACCAATTAATGCCCTCTCGTCTTAAGTACTTCCTTTCCCATCACGCGATTGTTTTTTGGAAGGAAGTGTAAAGAACGTCTCAGTTTGCCTTAAAGGAACTGTGAAGGCTTCTCTGTAATTTAAGCTTGATTGGAGTGAACTGAAACATTGTCTAATGTATTTGTGGCTTTAGAGCTTTTGTTATATTGTGCCTACAAAGCAAATTATGTTTACATAAAATATATAAATAAAGTATTCAGCATAGCATAACCTCGCCTGGCATCACTTACTCCACATAAATAGTTATTGGAAAAGTAGCCCCCCTATTGAAATGTAAGGAATGGGTGACTAAAAAAGAAAAAATTAAAAAAAAACAAACAAACATGTGATAGAAGACTCTTTAGATGAGAAACTGAAGACTACATGGAAAAACAGGGTTTGAGATTAGACAGGCCTTTAAAAAGACATTCGAGTTCCCTCAAGCAAGAAAATAAAACCGCTAAATAAAAGAACTACTAAATACATCATATATTAATAATGGTAACAAAAACAATAATTATAATGACATTTATAAGGTATCTACCATTTGCTGTTAAAAAAGCTATGTATGTATTAACTTGCTTACCTTCCAAACAGCCCTGAAAGGTAGTGTTTATCATTACATCAGTTTTATAGGTGATAAGATTGAATAAAGCATAGGGAGGTTTGGCACTTGCCTATGATCACACGGCTATCAAGTGATGGAGCCAGGATCTTTGAACCAAGCTAGAATTGTGGCTCTTAACTGCCCTGTCATGCTCTCTTGGCTTACATAAGGTTAAAATACATTGCATTTCAAATGATCATTTGTTGGACACCAAAAACTCTTCAGGGATTCTTTCCTTTGATTTCAAGGATATGTTTGGAAATTTGTTTTGCTTTGCAGCAAATAATATGCATATCAAGAAACCCTTTTTTTTTCTGGCCCTCAGTTGAAGTGTTCGGCGAAGTACTGATCTTAAAATTCATGCATCTCAACCATTTTCATTTTTGTGATCTAGTATCTCAAGGTTATCAAAGAGATATATAAAAGTAAACCTCTAAGGGCTAAGAGTTCGTAAAAGAGGATTTCGTGATTAGGGAGGCTTTACTGTATTTACCACATTTCTCAGTAGAAAGAAAAAAAAAAAGAGAGCTAGTCCCATGTTACTAACATGCCAGTGTATATATAAACCCAAATTTACAAAGTAGAAAAGTTAGTTACCTTGTCAGTGAAATTCTTACAAAGTCACTGCACAAAGGATTTTCTCATGTTTTCTTTTAATGCTCAAGTACTTCATGTAACTCTCATGGCCTCATAGCCAGCAACAAAAACTGGAATCTAAACTAAAATCTACTTATAACTGAGAATGGGGAAGAGGTCCAGCAGCTGGCAATTTTTTTCCAGCAGTGTGGGTGGGGTTAGTAATGGAGGTACACCTCTCAAAAGCCATCATAGCATAGGGAAACATTTGTGGCATGGAGACTGGAACAGTGTAGCCGAAATACATGTTACGAGGAGACAGAATGGAGCAGGAGACACGCACGATGGAAGCACAGGGTTCAGTGGTCTTTGAATGCCCACTTGATAATTTTAGATTTCCAGGGAAAGGAAGAAGGATGTGCAAGAGTGTGACATTAAAACTTGGGGTGCGGAGGCAATTACTAAGAGTAAATGCAGGGTTTGATGAAAAGAGGGATCTGAGAGGAGACTAAATGTGCTCTGGAGTTAGATAACAATACCGTGACCCTCTGCCCCAGTTTGGGTCTTCCCGAAGCAGACATCGAAACAAGGATTTGACTGTCGGCAGTGTTGGGAAATGATCCCAAGAAGCACAGATGGGGGAAGGAAAATGTAAAAGAGGACAAGGAAGGAGGCAATTCAGGGAGTGTTGATGAGCAGGATTCCACTGTGGAAGACCACAGACAGGCCACACATTTGCTGCACTTGAAAGACGAGGAAGTTGTATTTATCCATCAATTCCTGTGCATCACTCGTTAAGGGCTACTCCCAACAAGCGTGTTGATTCCCTGACATTCTTGCCCTTCCCCTTGTGTGAATCAAGCACATTGCTGCAGCCAGACAATGCCCTCCGCAGACAGCCACAACGAGCCATTGGATTCCACATATAAGTGAAATCATATGGTATTTGTCTTTCTCTGTCTGCCTTATTTACCTTAACATAATATCCTCTAGGTCCATCCATGTTGTCACAAATAGTAAGATTCCATGCTTTTTTTTTTTTTTTTATGGCCAAGTAATATTCCAGTATGTTACTGAGTATATATGCACTATATCCTCTTTATCCAGTCATCTATTGCTGAACGTTTAGGTCGCTTCTATATCTTGACTATGGTGTGTATGGGAGCAGTGAGGAGATATGGGGCCAGTACCCACAGCTTCTACTACAACTCTTCCAGGGAACTTACTTTTTATTCTGAAGTTAAAGTGGGGAGCTTTTGAGGATTTCCACAAACTATACTCCAGTCTTATTTACCACATCCTGACTCCAGCTATCCCATTAACTCTCACTGCTCCTTCTTTTCTGCTTTTGTTTCGTCTCTTGATGTAAAGAGTACAGTTTCTGCTCAGAAGAGACAGCCAAAATGCCTCTCCATCTCACCACGATAACTTGCTTCATTAGGATCTTCCTGCCAAATTTCAGGTCTATTCTTCATTTGGGGCCAGAAGATCTGGGGGCTCAATGTTAAATACAACCACATGTTTATTCAACAAGTTTGTAATGCAGGACCTTGTTCAGGGTTCTAGAAATAAAAAGAAAATAAGACCTGTCCTCAAGAAATTTACCTTCGAGAACTGTGCTATCCAATGAAAATACATGTGAGCCACATACAAAGTTAAATGTTCTTATAGTCACATTAAAAAAGTAATGAGAAATAAGAAAACTTAATTCTAATAATATTTTATTTAACACAATATACACAAAATGTAATCATTTCAACATAGAGTTAACATAAAGGTTATTAGTGAGATATTTTACATTCTATGTTTCATGCTAAGACTTCAAAATCTAGAGTGTATTTCATGCTTACAGCATTTCTCAGTTTGGACTAGGCACATTTCCAATGCTCAGTAGTATTTGTGAGTAGTGGCTTCTATTCTGGGTAGAGAGGTCTAGAGGAAAGAAAGAGCTGGACACCAAGATGTGCGACATGACTGCAGCAAGGCTACGTTAGAGGGCAGAGGGCATAG